CAGCAAATGCTTTTATGCCTTTCACCTCCCCCCCACCCTCTCCCCCACTGCTCAGCTGAGTATGTGAACCCAGCAAGTAACTGGAGGGAGGAAGCTCTGAAAGAGTTAAACACAAGTGCCCGAAGAACAGCATGGACTACTGCCTTTTGCGACCAACAACTTTTAAGATTCTTCATAAACCTTCTCTGCCACAAGGTCACAAAACCCACAGCAAATAATGTATGTGCTTACAAGTCACTGCGCAGGAACCTCAAAATCTGTCAGTGTGGCTATTACTCTCATTCTACAAAGGGAGAAACTAATTTGGAAAATGCAGCAGGCTCTTGAACACCACGCAGGATGCCAATGTCAGCACTATTTCTCCTTCCCCTGATCAATCAGGAAAACCACCCACAGCCCAAACTATCCCAAGCCAGTTTTTGGTACCTACCTTAAATTTCTTCTGGTACACAAGTTGGTTATTTTGTATTGAGAACCAGCGCCTATTCAAATGAAGAGACATCCAGAGAATACATAACTGACTTGACAGTGCTTATTTCACTGAAACGTGCTAACGTACAGTCCACAGAGAGACTGCATAAAAGAATTCACTAAAGTAATGCCACAGTCAGTTTTGGCAAGTATTTCGTGAGAATAAGGAAAAAAGGGAAAGCAGAGACAAAACAGAGAAAAAAGCAAGGTTCAAATAATTTGAGTCCTAAACAAACACATTCATGTTATGACAACATTAGTTAAGCTATCACTCAAAACATTTTCATTTCAAAGAACATTTCCTTCTGTATTTTAGCAGCAAGCTACAATTTTAAGTAATTGATAACGCAAATTCAGATCATCTGAATAACAAAAATACTTAAACTATGTACACTACTCACTCCACTACTTTTGAGAGCAGAACTAAGAAATAACTTATGGCACTAAAAATAATATAGTGTTGCTATCCCGTGCAGGTTTAATGTCTATCTATATTTGGCATTTCTTAAAATTTTAGATGCTGAAATAAAAAGATCACATACAAAACCAAAGCAAAACCAAGGAAAACCTTTTAAGTAGGATTCTAACTTAAGCCTCAGCTTTGGAGGGAAATATCAAATACAAGATTTAATGAAGGCATTCTATAAAATCCAAAAGACAACTTAACGCTTAAAGGCTCCTTTGAACTGTATCCTTCCTTGTCAAACTCACTGTTCAGACAGGATACAATTCATAGAGAACAGAAAGATTATAATTTTTTCCAAAATAGGAATGAGTGCCTCAGACCTCTAACAACTGCATTTTATCAGACAACCAAATACAAAAAAAGCAGCAAATAAAACCATGCCTTTCTAGCTCTTCTGGGGATGTACAAAATAAAAGCTACCCAATCGTTACTGGGTTTGAACTACCAAAAAGGGAGGGAATGTAAAAAATAATTCAGTCCTGCAGTGAAATTCATTCTTTTTTGTTTTGTTCAGGTTTATAACGTGAACCTGTAACATAATTCCTCAAATACCTCGGATACCCCACTTAGACCACACATCACTTTTTTTCTGCACGGCCAATCAGTTTGAATGGTAACAGCACGCAAACTATTGTATTGCAACAGATCTTGTTACTCTCTGCAGGCTGCTGAACTTCAAGCTACACTTTACTACAATTAGTAACAAGAGGGCTCCATGTATTTATTCGACCACCACAAGCCATTAATGAAAAGAAACAAAGACTGTTAAGAAAAACTAAAATATACAAAAAAAAGTTAAGATTCAAATCAGAAAATCTAGTATTTGTTAGAAAAGTTAGTACTTAGCAGACAGATGAGATTCTACCTTTTAACAATTAATCTTTTCAAATGTTGTGCAGATATATTTAATTTAAAAAGCAAGAACAGGATTGTCTTTTAATACTGGATTCCCAACACAATAATAGTCATCTTTTTGGGTTAAGATAATTGAACAGAATAATGCAAAAAAAACCACCCTACTTTTTCAATTTATTAACAGCAGTAGTTTTGGTCACTGCTATTTAAAAGTAATCACCTTTACCAGCTATTAAAAAACCCACAGATGCAGTAACTGATCTTCAAATATGAGCATAAGGCAGGTTATTGCTAATACTTAAACAGGTAACTCCAAAAAAGCAGACTAGAAAAGGAAAATAAACTTGGGCTTTTTAACGTGCTATTTTTGAACGTAACACCAAATAGAAAAAACATAAAAGTGGTGCCTAAGTGATAAAGGAAAAAAAAAAAAAAGCAGCCTTGCCCCAAGATAACATGCAATCTCTAATGATGGCCTTAGGTACTGTAATTAACTTCATTAACAGAATGCTTCATTTGTCCTACAGCTAAATATTTTGTGAGTTACTACAGTAAATAAGCTGCAATCTGATCAACTGGATATAAGTGAGCACGCAAATTGTAAAACAAATTTCTGTCATCTTTAAAGCCTAGTCTAGAAGTTTCTGAAGAATTTCAGCCCCTTTTTTTCCTAGTAGAGAAATTAAATCTGCTTAAGAGAACTCTTCAGTCTAGCCAAGAAGTGCGGGGGTTTTGACTTTTTTTTTTTAAGAAACTTTTATTGAACAAGATCAACAATTTAGAATGCAGTATAACTTGTAGATCACACTTTTGAAGTAGATGTCAATGGAAAATAAAGTTAATACATTTTATTGTATGCTTGAAAAAATAAAAGTGGCAGACTCCCCTCCAACATGTCAGCACCACAGCAGTTTTATTCAGGCCAAAAACTTTTGAGTTATTTCATATTAACCAAGTATCATCAATAAACTCTACTCATTACTGTAGGAAACAGACTGCTGGGGGGCTATAGCAGTAACGGCCAAGAACTTCCAAGGTACAATATGTGTACTGAAGGTGCTGTTATAGGGTCTACCACATCTATCCTGCTCTAAGAATTAATGTTCATTAACCTTTAGGCAAGATGTGTGCAGTGAGTACTGAACATTATCAAAATTTCTTTCAGTGTGTTGTTCTGTCAAAAATAGGAGAGAAGCATGGTGAAGGAGAAAACATACTTGGGGAATTCTAAAGTAATTTGCACTGCCTCACTCAGTAGTGCTTAAATATAGCTGTTTGGGTTCA